GTCTCCAATATTTGAAATTTGAACTACTGCTGAGTGCCCTAGAGTTTTTCATTCTCTGGCATTGCTCAAATTACTTCTTCTTATCTCCACATTGTATTCAAAGTAATTTTCGTAAACCACAAATCTTCTTAGTCATCTAGCTGAGAAATTCCCCACAGTGGCACTGTCTACTGCACCTATATTCATGGTAATGTCAAATCCCTTAAAACGTTATGTCATCATCTATTGCTAGCTTCTTCACTATGGTCTATTCTGCTCACCTCTTATGCAGACCTTACTAGGATCACCAACATTAAAATGTGTACCTTTCAAAAACTGTTTAATATCTCTAGCAAAACTGGTGCCACAGGGCCAAGGAGATAGCTCAGTAGAATAAGCACTTGTTTAGCAGGTGCAAGGTCCTGAGTTCAATTCCCAGTACTGAAAAAAAAAAGAAAGAAAGAAAGAAAGAAAGAAAGAAAGAAAGAAAGAAAGAAAGAGAAAAAACTGATGCCAAGCCAAAATTTCAAAATATTTTCTCATTTGGAAATACGATCTTTAGAGCCAGCCAGTTAGCTCAGTGGATTAAAGCACTGCAGAAGCAGGGACCAGGGTTCAATCCCCGGTGTGCTGTGCTGGCCCCACCCCTGGTGTTCGCTGATTGAGACTGGGCATGGTGGCACGCACCTGTAATCCTAACACTTTGGAGGCTGAAAACAGAGAATTACTATGAGTTCCATCTGTGTAGTGAGACCTTGTAGACCCTATACTAAATACATTTAAAAAAAAAATCAAGAAACAAGGAAGCATCTTGCTTTACATACACTGAAAGGACAGACCCACCTGATGCCTTGATTTTAGGTCTCAGCCTCCATAACTCTTAGAGAACTAACATTTTTCTTTTCAGCCATAGAGTCTGTAAATTCTTTGCAACTGTAGTCCTCTGAAACAAACATACCACCCACCCTAGACTTCCTGCAATATATTAATTGATAAATTTCAGTTCTCATTCTCTGGAGTTCATTTCTCACACAGTATCTCATGAGTGTAAGATAAACAGAGAGCAAAGAATAATTCAGTTGTTTATATTCTCTGCCAGGTACAGAAATTGGCATTTGGTGGGCGATTAACAGCTACATATATGAAAGAGCACATGAATTTCTTTGTGATTGTAGATACATATTGAGAATTGTCCAACATGGTGATTGAATCTATACGTTCATTTTTCTGGCAAAACCTTTGTATTTGAGATTTTTATTGTCTTTATTATTTGATGGCTTTTTGTTTTCTGGACAAGGATTTTAACCACATCTTCCTCCACTCCTTATTCTGGTCTCAGAAGTCTGAAGTTCCTGTTGGGAGCCAATCTCTGCATGCCAAGGCAGCCAGGACAAATGACAATCTCAGACACAAGGCCGCCTTTTGTTAATGACGGAGGACAACACTAAAACACATTGCTGATCCAAATTTAGCTCCACAGCGGCACCCTTCCCTCTCCACTTCCCGTCCATTGGATCTGGGAACCGTCTGGCTCCTTTCTTTTCTGAGAACTGTTTCATATGATTACCCTCCGACTCTCTGAGCAAACTCATATCCTTTCTACCAAATGTCTTTTTTGTTTAAATACCCAGAACTAATTTCTGCTTCATGCAATCTCAGAACAGCAATTATACTGTTCAAACTCAGCAGTGATCAGTCTGGAGCACAGACTGCGTATGAACACGGAGCTGTTGTTCCCAGATGGTCACCTGACCAGAAAGGCTGGACTTGTCAGCCAGGTGACTAATGAACTGTGTGCTTTGCCTGCCACTCCCCATGAGGGAGCCGCATCCACTTCCACACTAGTGCACCTACTGGCGTACTCCTGCTCTTCACCCTCGTTGATTGCACTTTTTAAAAATGTAAATGCAGAAGTTATCATTTAAATTTTAAAGTTTTTACTGAAATGATTTTCTCAAAGCACATCATGTTCTAAAAGTAAATGCAGCCATCGTATGAAGAATGTCACCCCTAAGTCCAGGTTTTCACATAATAAGTAAATGTCATAATAAACAATGTCATCATTACACAAGGAGTTTAAACCAGATGAATGACCTATTTGCAACAGAAAGACCAACATACTGATGAGCAACTATTTGGCACATGCGTTTATCTCATAAACTACTAATTAATTTGTGAGGAATTCATTCATTACAACTGCATAATACATATTCAATTTTTTCTTTAAACCTCTATTAAACGAAAGCCAGTGTCAGCACTGTAGAGGCGAAGATTAATTTGAATATCAGGATGAAAACAGAGTATGTTTTACCCACATAGATGTACTAAATGTAAATATTAAAACATCACTGAAAGCCAGCAGCTTTCTTCCACTTCTTCAACGGCTTAATGGATATGTTCCAGTGCAACTAAACATAGATAATACGCAACGCTGCTTCCAAATACGACCTGAATTGATTCTCCATCAAAGGATTTCCCTAGAGACCCTTCAGGCAAACATGTGGGTAGTCTGGCTGGGGAGTGAGCTAGGCGGTCTAAGCACCTGCCTGGCAAGCTCAAGGACCTGGGTTCAATCCCTGGTACAGCTTGCCAGGCTGGCCCTGGGTACCGAGCCGGCCACTGAAACCAGGCATGGTGGCACACTCCTGCAATTCCAGTGCAGGGCAGGCTGAGACAGGAAGATCACTATAAGTCAGAGATGCGTAGAGAGACTCTGTGCCAAATAAATAAATAAATAGATAAATAAATAAATGATATTTTAAAAAGCATTGTTGGTCCTACCTATCACAAGAGGAGGACAGAAGATAACACACTTGTAGCTCCTTTGCTTTTTTTCTTAATACCCCCTCAGATGTTTTCAACTATTTATAGTAAGTTCACTATTTTCTTCAGAATGTCTGCCTTATATATACACCGTAATGTCCATAAGAACATATCTTTTAATACAACAAAACATAAAATCACACTACAAATATATTTCACACTTTATATACATTGAATCTGACCTTCATGTATGGTCTTTAATCCAACACAGGTTTGATCTTCTATCTCTTCCAAACATTTATATTAAACTTACACTTGCCTTAAAACTACCCTTAAATTTCACACTCTTCTACCATGGCCAGTCCACAAATTCTCCTTGTCTTTCCATTGCTTCTGTCATCAGCTAACATATAAGTTTAGGGATTTAACTGAGTTTCAGGCCTCTCCTCTTTTCTACTCTTCATCTTTCACATTAGTTTATAACAGACAAAAACATATCTCATGCTGATCAGTAACATCAGACATTCTGCAAAATTCTTTGCCTATTCACCCATGCGACTGGTGGAAAAATTGCTTACGGGCAAAAGCAAGAAAACATACTATAGTTTCATTTTTTTATATAATTTAATAGATGCTAAGGAAAGCATAAAGATGCAGTTGGAATTTAAGGGAATCAAAAACCTGATCATGGGCTGAGGAGATAGCGCAGTAGAATAAGCCCTACCTGGCAAGTGCAGGGTCCTGAGTTCAACCCTTGGTACCGCAAAAAAAATAAATAAATAAATAAACTGATCATGAGTGAGGGTCTTCATTTTCCCAGTTATTACCTTTTATCTGTCCAGCAAACATGGGAGACCATCGGAATGTTAGGTAAAGGAATAAACTCACCCCATGTGGGCTTGGACCCACTTTGCAAGGAAGCAAGCAGTTTGAAGAAGAAAACCTCAGAGAAAGTTTTAACTTTTAAAGGTTATTCTACTACTTTTGGAAAGAGATTGTACAAACCTGAAGACAAGAGAAATGAGATTGAAAAGGTAGGGTTAAATGATAAAACGTACAGAATGGAGTGGAAAAATCTGCTTAGCCAATGGAACTTATGCATGCCAAGGCAAAGGAATTTCACTTGCGTTTAATTCATCAATTCCATTTTCCAGATGAATCATAACTCTAATCACAGGGGTAGCAAATACAAATCAAAGATCATAACTTTCAGGATAGGAGATACAGATTCTAATCTCTGGTGCACTGAGTTTGATTTATCTGTGTGAATACAGCATACAAACAAAATATCCAGAAATCAGATGAAATATGTAGCTTAGCAGGCATCTGGTGACCTCATCCTGCTGGTATTCATGGCCTTCTGTGATTTCTGCTCTCAGTAGGCAAGGCCTAGAGAATAATGTCTACAACACAGAACACCACAGAAACAGTGGTACATTGGTTTCCTGTGGTTACCAAAACTAAGAACCACAATTACCATTGAGTGGATTCAAAGAATAGAAACTTACTCTCTCGCAGTACTGGAAGCCACAAGTCTGAAATTAGGGTGTTGAAGAAGCTGGGCTGCCTTAGTAAGCTAAAGGAGAGATGTTGTGCCTGTGTCTTCCAGGATCTTGTGGCTCCTATAGGACTTGGGGGTGCATCCACAAGCTGAAAAGAAATAGACGCGTCTGGCCATATCTTCACATGGTCTTCCACTGCATGTATTTTTACAGATTAGTGTCACTGCATTGAAGATTTGTTACACTAATCCAGAGTGATCACATGGATGATCTTTAGTTCTGTGACTTTCCTAGTAGTTTCACAGTCACAAGTACTAAGGACTCAGACTTCAACACAAAACATTAATTGATAGTCTCAACTATATTTTGTTTGAAAAATAATGGAGAGGGCTGGGGGTGTGATTAGGCAGTACAGCATTTTTTTTTCTGCATGTGTAAAGCTATAGGTTTAATTCTTACTATCCCCACAAAAATTAGTTAACAATAGCAATAGAAACACCAATAAATAGTGCATATAATATCCCAACAACTTGCTTTAAAGGTAAAAAGCAGAGTGATGAAAGGACATAGAACAAAGGATCTCTGGAAGTTATTTGTAAAATCTAGGTTTTTGTTCCTACTTTCAATTTTATTTTAGATATTTTAACATTTTCATAATAGAGCTATGTCCTAATACTCAGCAAAAATGAAATCATTTTTAGGGTTTCAAATATTTGTTTGGAACCAATGGGAAGTGCAGTGGTCACTCATTCTTACCTGAATATGTCCCAATATAGCCGCAGGAATCTTCGGGTACAGCTTTACACAGCTTCAATCACACGGTTGCCACCAGCATTCTGTCTCTCACTTTCTCTGCTGTGAATAGGAGACAGAATCACACGTAACTAAAAAGAAGATTATAGTTGGACTTCATAGTCAAAATAATTATCATATCATTTAGGGGTTGCAACACATCTCCTAAACTTCTAGTTTCATTTCCGGTGGAAGCGGAAGAAGGTGTCACATAGTAGGAAAGCAATAATAAAATGTGTACTTTTTCTAAAAAAAAAAAAAAAAAAGGGAAAGTTCCAGACGACTAGACAAAGGCAAGTAGCACTGCTGCTGAGCAACGAGCTTCCCAGTTTAACTCCTAGAGGCATTACCATCACCAAATAGCACATACACTATCACAACAACTTGCTCTGAAGGTAACAATGCATGACTATCACAGCACAAAGGCAGCCGCAGCTGGGGGACAACACGCGCCCTCCTGCTCGAGCTGTCCAGGTGCCTCCGCTCTCTCCTACCCATCGCTAATTAGACCAGCTAATTGGCCAGCTCACGCTCTGTTCTGGAAGACTACGAAGCCAGAGGAGTCTAGTAGGAGAAAGCCAGGATTGGCTTTCATTTTCCTTCCACTTCGATTGCTCTGCAAAACATTTAGACACCTTGTCCTTCTGCTCATTATCATGCCATAACTAGAGCAGACACATCAAGTGGTTAAGGCTTTTAAATCTTTTATCCTGACAGACAAAATTAAAAAGTCTTTCCTAGTAGACACAGCAGCACGAATTGTCTTCCCTTAACTGAGTCATTTCAAAAGCACTTTTGACATATATTCAACAGTAGCAGAAAACTTCCTGGGATAATGTTTCTTCTTGCTAAATCACCAAACAGAAATGAGAAAGCTAGAGACGTGTTTTGGCACATACTTGTAACCCCAGCTACCCAAGTTGGAGATTCTCCTAGGTAACAACTCTCTTGTTTCAAAAAACAAAAGTCATGGAAAGGGCTGGGCTGTAGCTCCGTGTAGTGTGCTTGCCTGGCGTGCGGGAGGCCCAGGATTCAATCCTCAGTATGGGGCGGGGCCAGAGATGAGGAAACACGCATCTTATTCTTCCAGCCTTCCACAGCTTTGATACAAACACCTTGATACACGTTAGTAGTACCAGAACTGTATTTTTACTTGCTTCAATAACAGCTGTCTTGCCATCTGTGTTTGTACCTAAGCTATCTGAACTCCTTAACATTTTCTCCTCTCTTAAGCATATCAGTTTGTTTTATTTATTTATTTGGGGAAGGCAGAACCGGGGATTGAACTCAAGCCATTGCACTTGCCAGGGAAGTGCTTATTCCACTGAGCCATCTCTCCAGCCTCAGCGCATCAGTTTTAGAAGCCATTAATCTAGCTGTCCTTTTTTTTTTTCATTTTCTAAAAAAAAATCTCTAGAAAGAAATGAAGATAAGGAAGGATGGAACGAGGAAGGGTAAAAGAGAGACCTTAGTTTTTAGGCCACGAAGGGGCAAATCTGGAGGTAACATTTTTGAGTGCAAGATGTTTCATTGGGAGGTGAACCACCAAGAGAGAAAAGAAGTGAGACACGTAGGAGAAGGTCTTGCACCTACAGACAGTACCAGCAGGCAGCTGCTGGCAACTGCAGCATAATTTGGATCAGCAAATCTGACACACAATGTAGAATCTACCTCTGGTGCCGTTTCCCCAGAAGAATGACAAGAGATACTTACACACTAGCTCCCATTTATCAGTAGCTGAGTGCGGCTCCCAGGGGCATTAACTGCCTGAGACTTGCAGCCCGCTTTCTTTGACAAAGTTGTCCTTAGGGAATCTCATAGACAAAGAACTACAGGAACTGGCATTGGAAATTGCACAGTGTGCACGGCAGCACCAAGGGGACACGGCCACACCCAGGCAGATCACCATACCATCTGCCACAGAAAAATCTAAATTAGAATATAGGCAGGGTGCATTTTAAGGCCACGTACAGAGGTTTTACTGATTTTAGGCATATAGCTTATCTGCCTACCCAGAGATGCTCTTATTTGTTAAATCATATGCATTCTCTCACCTGTAACTGGATCTGAGAGTGAACGAATGATAGAACACATTTTGTTTCCTACAGGGGCAAAGACTGTGGTGTTACACACGTCCAGGTCTAGAAATGGGTCTGTTCATCTGGGACAGGGAACTTCAAACGTGATGCAGAGCAAAACCCAGAAAACCATGTCAAGATTCCCAAAGTGTTGTAATGGATTCTGTGTTTCTTGTCTATTGGTCTTAAGCAAGAAAACAGAAAAGATGGGGATAAAACTAATTCTTTTTTAGGGTAAGAGTCATTTTCGTATATATGTTGTGCCAACTACTGACCTTACAAAGAAAACTGGAGGGAAATTATCTAAAGACAATGTAACTATTAACTATGCAACTATTCAGTAAATCCCATTTTCCAATATAGCAAAGTAAAAATTCTCCTTAGAATGATTAGTTCAATTTAACATCCCCAGAGCTTTTATCTCTACCTCAGAATTACTGAAACAGCCTCATTGCAGGAAATACTTTTCTAAATGAGAATGTTTTATGCAATATGACAGAATAAAGAAGAGCGAAAAATATCCACATCAAAACAGGAACAAGCTCATGCCCATCTCTGCCTTTCTTCATACAGGAAAATGTCAGGCTCTGAATTGGGCTATTCTTCCATGCCTAGAATGATTAGGTTTCTTCATACAATTTTGAATAATCTTGCAAAAAATGAGATAGGCTTATGAATTACTGCTTTGAAAATATTTTAAAGTAAAACAAAATCTTGATTTCCAATGTAAATTGTTCTCAAAATTTTAGTGTAAATATAATATATTCAATGTGACACATTTACACCATTATTTTGTAATTCTCAAGCTACTTAAAGATGAACAGAAAACCAGGTAAAGTCAATCACTCCTTTACCCAAACTTTCACATTTTCCAACAATACTAAGTTAAGAAAAACATTAAAATGGCAACATGACCAGATGTGTCATTTTTTAAATACTAATTGATTTTTGGATAGCAACATGAAACTACACTAACAAATCAGGCCAAAAGCTCTTTCTATCTGTCACCTGACTAAGCAACCACCATTACCCTGATAATAAAAAGCTTCAAAATCATTTTTTCTTTTTAACTTGGGTTCCAGAATCTAATAATATTTCAACTCAATTTGTGTAAAAGAAGCCTACCTATGTATGGATCTCCCACTGATGCTCAAATTCAAGAGTACCCAAAATCAGATCTAGCTTCTAATTCTATTTTCTTTTTTCTTTCTTCATTTTCCTTTGTGTGTGTGTGTTTATTAGATTTTTAGTAAATAAATAATACAATCTTCACTCTAATTACTCAAGGTAGAAATGCAGCATTCCCTTAGCACTGATATGCAGTTAAATCAGAGTAAATTCAGTTCTACTTGATGCAACAAACTGCTTTTGGAGTTCTCCCTCCTTTACACCCTTATCCATCTATTTTTAGCTGGCCATGAAGTCCCTTGCTGTAGCTTCTTTGGACAAAGGACAACCTCCTGGGAAGTCCTTGAGATCTATTCTCAGATGTTCCACCTTACTCTTCTAGACAAAGGTAAAGACACAGTGACTGGGGATGATTTTCTTGAATGACTAGGTCAATCATTCCTGTGTATTACAGTCTTCTTCTTAAGACAGCGGGTGGTATCTACATCATGACTACACGCCTGCCATCTACGGAGGTACACTGGAAAAGTAATTTAATTCATAAATCAATATTCCTTGAACATCTGTTGAGTGCTACATTGTATTAGTTGTGAATGAGAAGGAAATAAGTCCTCATTGACTCTTGCCTTCGTCAGTATAATAAAGATTATGTTCAGCGTAAGGTAAGGCACTGTCAAAATATACAGGAGGCTCAGGAAAAATTTCATTTAAAAAATGGAACCTGAGGATTTTCAGTTAGAAACTGTCCAATGAGTAAGTTTAGAAAGAGAAAACATCCCAAGAAAAAGCTCAGTAATAAAAAAACAACCCAGCAACTTCAAGGATAGGTGAATGATAGTGATAAACTGAGACTAACTCAAGAGTTTGTTGTGTTAAGTGGAAGTGAATTTGCTCTGATCTAAACACATGTAAGTGGTAAACGACATAAGGATTAATGCCAGATTTCTGGCTTGCACAATTAGAAGGAAGACTGTTTCATTTGCTTACTCAAGTAGGTTCGTGGCTGCCATACTGTACAATGCTGATGATGCCTTACAGGAGACAGGTGTGAAGACAAACTGTTGCAATAAGATCCATATTTTAGGAAAATGTATTGAAGTGTGACTTTTAAGAGACAGGCAGAGGATGATCAAGCTGATTAAAATTTCTTAGAAATCTGTGTATATTCATTAAATGACAATAAAACAGAAATATACTCAGGACATTCACATTTGTAAGACAGAAAATTGGAAAAGTTGTTGGGATTTAATTTGTGTAGGAAAGAACAAAACAAGACATTTTGGTCCCAGATGTTTCTCCTTCTACAGACATCTGGACGGACCAAGGATTATATCACCTGATATTTTTCTATACAGACATTCAATTCTACACCCTTAGCTCTCACTGTGGAAATAAACAAAAGATAGTCACAATCTGAGAATACATATGAATTTTAAATATGCCAATTTAAAAACAAATCCAACCTAGTTTCTTTCACTGTATTTAGCATGCATTTTTAGAAGTGTTTTAAAACATACTAGAGCAAGGGCCTGTCATCCCAGCAATGTATCAAGAAAATCAGTTATGTATGTTGGTATGTGTTCACTAAGGAACATTAGAAAAAGTAAAAAATTTATTTAATCAAATCAAAAGGCAATATATAAACATCTCCTTTTTTCTTTTTCTAGAAGTAGAAATGTACTATGCATAGAATTTTTCCATAAGAGGGAAAGAAACTATTCAAAGGGGAGAAACAACTGGGATGAGGGAAAGGAGAAAAGAAGGAAAGAAGGAAAAGAAAAGGAAATAAATATGTATATTAACAGGATGGCTTGGATAGTTGCATGGCTTATTTCTGCTAGTCTATTGAAAACAGCAGT